AGGCGGCTAGGCCTACGACTAGGAACTGGCCTTGAGGAGCTGACGGACAGATGCAGGTGAAGAGTGAACCAGCCTCGCACCTGAGCGTGATGACACTGAGGGGGTTCTTCAGCGTCATCCCCCAACGGTATGTCCACGCACAGCTAACAGACTGGGGCCGAGCAGCTCTTCCCTCCCAAGGGAAAGGGACAGGCCCTGACACATTCCACAAGCGCTACAGAATGAAGATCCCTTTTCCGTGGAGACGAAGGGTAACGTTTGCTGAGCTCCAGCAGTTCCCCAGAAGCCCTCTGGTCTGAAATCTCAAAGGAGAGAAGCGAAGAGGTGCCCAGACTTTGTTATCAGGTGTTACTCCTCCTTCAGGAGGATCAGGCCCTTTGCTGAAAGTCCTAAATCAGTCTGAAGTGTAAGGAGAGACTGTGCACAGCACAAGGAAGGCGAATGGAGCAGTCTCACCTAGTTCTAGGCCAGTGATGGCGAACCTATGACACGCGTACTCATTTTTTTGGTTGATTTTTCTTTGTTAAATGGCATTTAATATATAAAATAAATATCAAAAATATAAATCTTTGTTTTACTAGGGTTGCAAATATCAAAAAAATTCTATATGTGACACGGCACCAGAGTTAAGTTAGGGTTTTTCAAAATGCTGACACGCCGAGCTCAAAAGGTTCGCCATCACTGGTCTATGACATGGTTTCCCCGCCCACCCAGTTATACTTCGTTGGGCACCAGGCCACCGCAGATGAGGCTGAACCTCCTGGTCCGGCCCATGCAAGGGCTCCCTGAGAGTGAGCACCAGGACCCCGCACAGCACCCAGGCCCAAGCCTGCCCGTCCTACCTCTTCTTAGTGGGGGTGATCTCCGCTGGCCGCTTCTCCTGTAGGACGACTTGGTTCCCGCTGGTGACGGTGGCTTTCCTGCCCATGAGGGGCACCATCTCCTTGGGGTGGGCATTCATGGCTAGAACACAATCACAGCACAGAGTCTCGGGTTGATTCAGGGGCATGGAGGAGCTGCGGGGGCTTCAGACCCCCTGGGGCCCCTGCTTATACCCCTAGGATGGGGAGCTCACTCTCTCCCTTCCCAGGCCACCAACCCTTCTCAGGGACAGGGGTCAAAAGGTTGAGCGAGTGGTAAGGAGCTGGTGTGGTTGTTCATGGGGAGCCCCGATAGCAAGAGGCTTGGGAGCAGGATGGGTCAAGTTGTGAGGACGTGGACGCCAGTCAGGTCTGTGGCAGAGCCCCAGGGCAGCGGGGGACATGGGAAGGCCCCGGGTTACATAGGAGACAGCCACCTTGGAGAGAGAAGGCTGCGTGTGGGACGGGGAGACCAGAGGCGGGGGCCAGGGGAGGCTGCTGTGGGGGCCATCAGGATGGGAAGGGTGTGCTGGCCATGGGAAAGGGCTGTGTGGACAGGAGGTGACTCTGTAGTTAACGGGGGCCATTCTCAGCTCGAGCAGCACTGAGGGAACTCCCTCGGAATCAGGGAGGTGGGGGTGAGGGACAGGTTTCTGTAAGAGCCCCATTGGGTGGAGTGGAACTGGGGCCCCAACGAAGAGAGCTTCCTGGAGGAGGTGTCTGGAGCAGGCTGTCGTCAGACTGGAGTGCGGTTTACAAATGTCACAGCCCCTACACACACACACACACACACACACACACACACACACTAAAGGTGAGCAACCTGGGGGGAGGAGGGGTCATTCACAGGACGCCTTTGGCCCGGAGTATGGGCACCTCAGGGCAGGGAGCTCGGAGGAAGCGCCTCAAGGCCAACCAGGTGCAGCAGCCCATTGAGAGACCATTGTAAGCGGCCAGATGCACGGAAGTAAAGGCCAAGAGTAAAGAAGGGGATGAAAGGCCTGTTTCTCACGCCTCCTTGAGCCTCTGTTCTCTACTCTGAGAAATGGGCTGAATGGTCCCCAAGGACCCTGTGTCTCTCTGTATGCAGCCGCCTGCTCCATCCTCTCTGCCCTGGGCCCGCCCATGGGTGTGGGCAGCACTGGGCAGCTGGGCAAAGTGGCTCAGGAAAACTCGGACGGGGACATCGGCAGCTGTAATTAGCTCCCTGAGTCACCCGGGAGGCCCTGCGTTCTCAGCAGCCAGACTCTCCCGATGCCGCAGCATCCCTCTCTCTGGATCAGGCTCCCACCTGGGAGGTAGGAGGTTGTGCCTCCCCAGCCCGGGCCCTGTCCACAGGCCCAGGGAGCCCCATGCCTCTGGCCCAGCACCTATGGAATGAATGCCTGGGCCCTGTCCCTCTCAGCTCAGAGCCGCCTCCCCCATCCTGAAGTCCCATCACTCCTGCCCACAGAGCCGCATCCCTGGGCCTGCTAGAAAGACAGGCGCCTCACCTTGGCCCTGGGAGCTGTGAGGTTCTCCCTCCCCAGATCCCCGCCCTCGGGGAAAGGCTCCTGGCTCCATCAGACCCTGTGCTCTGGCACATGCCCCAGGGCCAAGCGCTCAGCCGGAAAGGCTCCTGGCTCCATCAGACCCTGTGCTCTGGCACACGCCCCAGGGCCAAGCGCTCAGCCGGAAAGGCTCCTGGCTCCATCAGACCCTGTGCTCTGGCACACGCCCCAGGGCCAAGCGCTCAGCCGGAGTCTGGCTTTGTTGCCCCGCTAGAGGCTCACACTCCCTCCAGCACTCGCCTGAGGCCTAGCAACAAAGGGTGGACATGGCCCAGAGGACCCCTTAGGCCCTCTCGCTGGGCTCCCCCTGGACTCCCCCGGGCTTTGAAGGGCACTGGCTGCCTGTGTGGCCACTCACCTGGTGAGGTCGGGTGGCGGTGGCTGCCCTTGCTCTGAGATCACCGCATGCCCGGGGCCCAAGGCCCCCCGGTGGGGCACTGGCTGAGGCGGCGGGAGGCTCTCATCACAGGTAGAGAGATGGCTGGAATGAGGCTTCAGAGGC